CGCGGCGGCCGCCCTTTAGCCCCAGGAAGATTTCTGGTACTCATTTCTGTTAAAGGCTGAGTCGATACCAGGGCCATAGTGCGGCTGGAAGGATTAGGTAAACTGACAAAAAATGACTTCATCGGGACTGTAACCAGCGACCTTCCTGCTTGTACCATAGTGCCTCAACCAACTACGCTACCGCGTGCCGCTGAGCTTTTCAGTTACAGGGGCTTTATATTCAAAATGGACTCTCTACACCTCTCGCAGGATCTCTTACTTCCACATGCTTGCTGGATGAAAACGAGTGAAGTTCCTAGGCTGAAGCCATGTTTAAATTAACCTGGAATGTGGACTGAGTGCCGGTAACAACACATGCCAATGCTTCCTCTGGCCTAGGGACTGGCGCCTAGACGAGGACTATAACTAATGTCATTATCCATGTCAAGAATTCGCTAGTGGGGGGTGGAGTCCACCTGGGTCCACTCACCACTGCGGCCACTGATTGGCCTATTGTACCTACCCCGGGTGATTATGATGATGGAGAATTTGGTGGAATGAAGACTGGCAGGGGAAACCGAAGTACTCGGAGAAAACCCGCCCCAGCGCCACTTTGTCCACCACAAATCCCACTTGACCAGACCCGGGATCGAACCCGAGCCGCCGCGGTGGGAGGCCAGCGACTAACCGCTTGAGCTATGGCACGGCCTATCCATGTCAAGAAAATAAATAAATAAAACGTGGGCCACGCAACACGAAACATTGTGCCGTGGGAGTGTGTGCTTATTCTTCATGGGATACTTCACAGCTCTCTTAGTATACTATCCCGATATTTGCCTGGAGGGACTGGGAAAACAATGTAAAACTTCAGTCACGATAACCGATGTCACGGTCGAGATTCAAACCAAGCGTCTCTCGAATACAAATGCAGAGAGTATCTAAGACCCGCGTTACCTTTCTGGTTCTGCTTGAACAAGCTGCTGTTCCACGGAAGTGAAACTGCTGGCATGCTAAGCGGTGGGAGGTCGGTCCCTCGCAGCCTTCAGTCAGCGGGCATTGCATCCTCCCAGCATCGCTAATACAGGACTTCGCATAGAGCGCAGAAACCAGAATTCATAATCTGAACACGTCCGTAAGTCCCTACAAGCAAACAATCGTCCGACGGTAGGATGAGCACAGCCGCGAGGAATAAATAGAACCAGTGACCTTTTGTTGCCATCTGCCGGGTGTGTGCAGCTTGGGTGAATGCTACGCAGCGGCTACGTGGGTGCGATGGGGATGCATACAGATCGCGTTTCGAGTTTGCGCTTATTTGTTCTTGATACAGCGACAAGTTTTCCCTGCTCCTAGCTAATTAATCCTCACGCAATGAAGAGATATGAGGGATTGGAGTTATAGCTCCACCATTCTTGAACTCGTTACTAGAGGGAGGTGAGGGGTCAGCTTCACGCCTCGGGAAAAGAATCGCCAGTACCTATTGGGTAGGGGGCTGGGTGGGCTGTGGAGTAAAGAAAAATCTCTTGCACGTATCGGTAATCGCACCCCGGCGTCTAGCCCGTCGCTATACCGACCCAGCTAAGAGTTTAGATTATACAGCATCGAATGGCGGGAAAATTAATGAGTAACGAATTGGAAAGGAAATGGGATGAAACAGTCGTGGTCTAAACCTGAATTTGTCTAGGGGGACAGAAGAAAACTATGACAGCCCTCGGTCATGATAAATGGTGTGGGCCGATATTTAGATCCGATATCTCACGAATTCAAAGACGTGCTAACCACAAGATGGCGACGTTTGGTAAGGAAGTTGCTGTAGCCGATCTTGAGAACTCGAAATTGGAATTAAACGTGTGCTGCATTTCAAAGTGCAGTGACACGAAGTGATGATGGCTGCTTTTTCAAACATTCGCACCGTCGCCATGTTGATACTTTTTCGTGATTTTAGTCCGCAAGCGAAATATACCCACCGAGCGACCGCTTGTTGATACTTCTCTACAAATAAAAACCCTATACACCAGAATTGCAAAGGATTTACAATTTCACATCACACCAGCCTATATATATATATNTCCACGGGAGAAAAGCGCCAGGGGATTAAAGCTGACCACTCAACTTCTTCTAGCGCCGAGGTTAAGAATGGTGGAGTTATACCTCCACTCCCCAATATACCTTCATGGAGTGTGCTTAATTAATTAAATCTGAGCACAACCTTCTTAACTTACAATTCAAACACTCAGTATACTGCATCTGAAAAATATGCAGTGAATACACTCCCACCTCAGAAATTCTCCTGACCACCATGTTATTTATAATAGTAAGGGACTGAAAAAGTGCACAATTCAGTGTTAACGAGTTTCATGAAAATCGCCAACCGTGTGAAAGTTCCTTGTGGGTGTCAGATACAGATGTAATGATGGCAAACATGGCATGGAATACACTGAAAGCGGGCAGAAAATTAACGTTAAAACTAAACTAACCTGAACACTCGAAAAGCTGGTAGGATGTTTCCATTTGTCTCGAAGGTCGGCTGTTGTTTTCTCCCTGAACTCTGCTGCCTCCTGGAAACAGTCAAGACTTTATTTGTGTAAATTACAGTTATACTTATGCTTGCAAAAGAAAATCATTTCTTTAAACATTCTTACATCGAAACGATATTTGAGCCCTAGTTGCACAGTGCTAGTAGTTAAAGATCAGTACTCTGGAATCTGCGTGACATTTGTGCCTCATAAAATTGGCCAACGTTTTGATTTAAAATTTCACACTTGAAATATTTACCACTTCTGTTCTCTTCTTGTGCGACTGAGCACACAAAGCAAGTTGATCGAACAAAGGGCAGTTGCCCATCATTATAATATGATCATAACACACACACATGATCAAACAATCTACATCAGGGGTCACTGATCGTACAGGGCGACAGGGGGCACCGTCACAATTTCAGCACACCTTTCCACGAAAAAGAATACTTAACGAAAGATGAGACATTTTCTTATAAACTGCCAATTCTTGTCATTTACACTCTAACCCGGCGAACAATGACACCTGGACATACTCTAAACTTTTGGAGCACCTTGACAATGGACACAGATTCAATTCACAGATCGGAAATCGTCACGTGCTTTACTACTGTCGGATCAAGATATTATTTCCAACATTTTAAAAAGTTCATGGACACCCAAAAATGAGGCGTCAGCTGGCAAGCCCTGGTTTTATTTTTATTTTATTCAAGTTAAATTTACCTTCCCAAATTTCGTAAGAATAACGGGACACATTTCAAGTAACCATCCACACAAATAAAAGAACAGTGACGGCGGACTTGAGTACAATTACCCAGAGCAATTCCACATAAAGAGGAAACATGATCACTGTTTTACTGACTCCTGACTTTCATAATATCCCACAGTCAGGAAAATAAAAGACAATACAAGTAAACTGACCAGTAAAGTTCAAGATAGAACAGCAATCCTCATAGCTATACTCTGTTCTGAGTGTCTACGGAATGCATGTAAACAAAATAGCGGCGGCAGACGTAGGGCATACGCTTTTTGTCGGCCCACAGGCCAGGGAAATATTATTCACACCATACATATGATGCCTCTCTTCATTGCAGCAAATGTACGTTAACTTGATAGTCTACTTCACCGAATGAAATGGGAGCCGATCACAGTGGCTGCGCGGTCTGAGGCATGAATTGTTTTCGCCCGCTCAAACACTGGGATCGTGGGTTCGAATCCCACTTGAGGCATTGATGTCTGTGTGCGTTTATTCCGTGTTTGTGTTGGCCTGTGTGCAGGTAGGGAGATTGCGACGGGATGATCCCCCGTTCAAGGAGTCCACCAACTGGGTAAAGAGATCAAGAAATTGAAAAAGGGGCCAAGGTCCAACAAAGGGCTGTAGAGCTACAGATAGATAGATAGATAGACTAAGACGGGAGTAGCAATATATACGGGACACTTCGTGCGTTGTGAACTGTGTTTGCAGCGTGGCTTGCTGCCTTTACATGTAGACCGTAGCCATTCAGAATGAATGCTTTATCTGACCAAGTATGGCGAGCTTTAATAAGCCAAATCTGACTTACCATAAATACGAAGACATTTACGGCTTACCAACTAACTGCAGAATGGTGGGATCTGAATCAAAGGAAATACCTTCTGGTCCCAATTACACCCAACAAATCAAGTCACTCAGGGCGGAGGAGGAAATGCCAAGAAATAAATACTGATCAGGACATCCGTACAGCCGTCAATAGGAATTTTTGCAGAAAAAGAACCTTTTAATAATCATTAGGACAATAATAAAAATGCCCACATTTTACCCGAATGCCGTACAGACGTAAGCTCACATTGACACAGATCTGGAACAAATTATGAAAAGGGCAACCCGTGGTTTTCAACGAAAGGTTGGTGGTGGGGGAGGAAGGAGGTGAGGATGAAGATTTTTTTTTTTGTGGGGGAAGAAAGAGAGAGGCCAAAGAGGAATAAAGCTGGAGAGGGGAACGATAATCATAAGTAAAAGGCAACGAGGATAGAAGATCGAGTAAACGGAGGAGATGGCATGCCTCAATACTTCGAACTGATTTATTATTTCACTTTTCTGCTAAGGTTCTATAAAATTCTGGGCGTCATTTAAATTTATGAATTTAATTCTTATCCCTGAACTGCACGCTATTAACTCTGAAGATAGAAAATTGTAAGCTTTGCCGAAATGTCTGAAAACATTTATCATTCGATGCGGTCTAGCACAGGAAGCCGAAGTCACATTACTGAAATGAGCTTGCAATCTAAAACAGCGCGATATTTACGGGACATGTGACGTATCACTTATGGGAATTCCTTGAAATATGGTTTATCCAGTTCGTCAGTCATTCAGGAAGTCGGACAGTGTGAGAGAGAGATACACACACAAACATTACTCTCCCCACACATTTCAGTGGTCAGTTGTCAAAAACAGTAGCTGTATAATGTCAAAGAGGCTTTGCTTTCCATATTGCATATAACTGGTTTTGTCTTTTCGTAACATTTCAGTGATGCTGCAGATGAATATGTCGAAAATGGCGTCAGTGTCTGGAGGGCCCCTCAAGGGGAACTATTTGTTCACGCAGCTGCACTTCCATTGGGGCTATAACGATTCCGTGGGAAGTGAGGACACAATTAACAACCACACGTAAGGAACCGAACAATAAAAATGCACTTTAATCAGAACCAGGTGGCACATGTGACTACATGGGGCTTCGAACTCAATATTGTAGTCCTAAAAACGAAGGGGCATGCACAATCTGCCACGCAGTTCCAGGTCGAAAGAGATCGAAAAGAACCATGACACGATGTTGTTGTTATTAATGTTACTCAACGACAATGTTATACAGAACCGAAAGACAGAGTTTGCGACATGCACACACGCACCGAGGCTGACCCTTCCGCCTAAAACTAAAAGTGGTTAAAAATTAAATGAGCTAAAAAGTCATTTTGAGATCGCTGATTTTAAAATAATGGTGGCACCGGACAACTAATAAAGTAATGGAATTTTGTCCTTGCGCGACTACACCTCTGCGCACGCTCACGTATAACATAACTTCTTGTGTATCCTGAGCTCCCCAATCCCTGTCCCACAGCGGTGTGCCGTATGTGGGACAACTGCTTCAGTGCATCAAACTAAGTTCTCTGAATGCAGGTTCATATAAATATACAAAGTATCAACCATCATCTGTACGAGCATATTTAATCCCGAAAACCATTTAATATATTTCAGTGAAATCTGGTGTTACTGGTTTTCACCGACATTTGTTAATTTCGTTTTGATTTATATAGATTCACTATCAACAACACGAGTATTAAGCTACGAAATAATATATGAGATTTATTTTTATTTTGTTACAGCTACACCCTACCGAATAATGTTTCAAATGAAAGTTACAAACATGCCATATACAATAAGCTTTGGGGGAACGCTGTAGCGTAGTTGGTTGAGGCACTATGCTACAAGCCGGAAGGTCGCGGGTTCAAGTCCCGATGAGGTCATTGGATTTTTTCAGTCGACCTAATCCTTCCAGCCGCACTATGGCTCTGGGATCGACTCAGCCACTAACAGAAATGAGCACCAGGAATTAATTAAATGATCTTCCTGGGGAGTAAAGCGCGGCCGGCGCGTAAGGCTGACAACCTTACCGCCATATTTGAGCAGATTGTCTAGATAATATAGGACCCTCAACGTCTCACAACCCTATGGACCTTCACGGCCTGTTACAGGGATTGCTTTACTCTTTTTTTTTTTTTTACCTTTTTACAATGCTATCTTCTTTTTCGGCAAGGAGATGGACTTTGATTTGAACTTCATTTCTAATACA